CAAATGCAAATTCCATAATGGTTGAGCCTCCCTCATAACTCACTCTCTCTTTCCTCCCACAGCTTCCGATAAGGGCAACACCGAGGAGGTGGAGGAGCTGCAGGAGCAAATTGTGAAGCTGAAGAGCTTGCTGTCTGTGAAGCGTGAGCAAATCATTACACTGCGCAATGTGCTCAAGTCCAATAAGCAAACCGCCGAAGTGGCGCTCACAAATCTCAAATCCAAATATGAGAACGAGAAGATCATTGTCAGCGACACGATGTCCAAGCTGCGCAATGAGCTGCGACTGCTCAAGGAAGATGCAGCCACTTTCTCCAGTAAATATAAAATATAAATTATAATAGAGTATTATAAAACTAACGTCTCTCTCTCTCTCTCTCCCTCTCATTAGGTCTGCGCGCCATGTTCGCCGCACGCTGCGAGGAGTATGTTACTCAGGTGGATGATTTGAATCGTCAGCTGGAAGCTGCCGAGGAGGAGAAGAAGACGCTCAATCAGCTGCTGCGCTTGGCGGTGCAACAAAAGCTGGCGCTCACGCAGCGCTTGGAGGAAATGGAAATGGATCGGTGGGTGCATTTGGGTCGCTAAACAAGAAGCACAAGAAACACAAGAACTCAAAGTCCCATGCCAATAATTCAATTAAGCCAATGTCTTTAGTTATGAAATCCTTATACAAATTCAAGAATCCTTCACTTGGTAAGCATTGGGGCAAAGGAATGTTTGCATGCGCGAAACGCTGTTGCTGCTGCTGCTTCTGGATAACGAATGCCTAAACCAAAGCAAGAACTGCGAGAGGTTCTTAAATAATAATCTACCAAATAATAGTATATTTATATAGTAGTTGCTAATTGTTGTTCATAAAACCCTGCTGCCAAACTAACTCATTTCCAAATATCTTGCCAAACTCTTTGCTAATCATTCTCTCTATTTGGCCAACAGCGAGATGCGTCATGTGCGTCGCCCAATGCCTCCGCAGCGCGGCACCAGCGGCAAATCCTCATTCAGCACACGTCCATCCAGCAGAAATCCGGCGAGCAGCAATGCGAATCCATTCTAACATAAGATCAGCGTGCAGCGTAAGCTTTTGGCCTTGGTTTATACTTTGCTTAAGTTGTAAATTCGTTGGGAGTAGCTGAAGAATCACTCACAAACGAGCCCGGACCCATACACACACACACATGGAATACTTTGAATGTATTTGTGAAGGATGCTATAGCTATTTGTTCTACTTCCTATATTTAATGATATATAACTATATTCTATTTGTATCTGTTTCTATTTATATTTATTGAGCCCTTAGTTAGACAAAAAAAAAAAAAAAAGAAATTACACAAGAAAACAAAACAAAACAGTTATTAACGGTTAGTTACTTAAACGTCCAATTAATTTAATTAACAACTCTATTGAAATTGAAAAAAAAAAATAATCTACTATATAATTGTATTTTTCTATATACAAGAAAAACATGATAAACAAATGTATTTGATTCGATTTAAGTTGCTTTTTGTTAACATTTTCGCGTTGATTGATTTGTGAAATTTGATTTTTGTTATCAACGCTGTGCGCAAAAAGCGAAAGAGAGAGAGAGAGAATTATGAAAAAAACATATATATATATATATATATATATATATATATATATATATATATATGTAAATTGGCAAGCATGTATTATTGGCCTGACTATAAAAAGTATTTTTCAAGAAAAGAAGAAAACAAAACAAATTGGAAAAGTATTTCCAAAAAAAAAACTGTACGTAAAAGTAAAAACGAGATAACTTTTGTTTACGAAGGCAACTTTAGCCAAAAGCAGAAACGTTTAACAAAAACACAATGTGTAAATTCTATATACTATATTTATATAAAGAAATGATGAATATTTGGCAAGCAACTGTTGTGCGGATTTCTATCAGCAATGGCAGCGGCGTCTCAAAGACGAAACATTTTTCTGATTGAAAACAAAACTTGTAGTAAATTTAATTATTTTCTGTTCGCAATCAAAATATTTACATAAAAACCAAGTTTTTTTGTTGCAACAATAGTCTATAATTTGTGCATTATTTAATTTAATAAAAAATAAATTAATTAAAATGAAAACAACATTTATTTAGCCACATTTTTTTCACTTTTATTTTATGAACACAGCCTTTAAAAAAATAGAATATTCTATTTACCACTAACAAGCAGCTTAACCAACTTAAAATAACAAAAAATTGTATTAATGAAAAAACGTTAAAGTTTAAACTAATAATAATAATTATTATTATATTATAGTAGCAAATTAATTAAATACACAAAAAGTAGAGATTTGAAACACAGCCAAGTTCTATGAAATTATAAAAATAATGCAAAGTTTATGTTTCAAAAATGTTTAGTTGGAAAAAATGTGTAAGAATATCAAATTGAAATATACATTAAGCGTATATTATGTAAATTTACCGAGCCATTAAATTGAATTTATATTTAAGACACACACATGCATAGACACACACACACACATACACACGTCGTCCACACACTCACAGACACTGAGATTAACTGAACTTATTCAGTTGCCTATACAAATTATTTACGATGAAATTTGTAGAACAAGAAACAACAAAAACAACTGATGAATACATAAATTTCAAAATGATTTTATTGTAATTTTACCGTCCCTTTTTGCAAAATGAAAACAAAAAGAAATATGTAAAGATGGAACAAAGTCTATTTATTGAACACACACCGAACCAAAAAACAACAACTACAACATCAGTAACAACAAAAACAAATACAACTTTAAGTTTCATCCGGAACATACATCCATATATATATATATATATATATAAATAAATATATATACATATACATACCTTATCAATCGACCCAACAAGCCAAAATATTGATAGCCAACTAAAGTAAAAAACAAAAATACTAAAAAAAATAAATAAATAAATAAAAACTAACATAAATAACTCAAGAACTATTTCAATTAACATAGAACAAAATAATAGTTTTCTATTTCAAAGAAAAAATAAACTTAAAAAGTAAAAGCAATTGAATTTAAGAATTGATAAATATTTAATAAGTTTTATGATAGATGGATAAACAAGCCCCGCCCGGGGCTACAGTGGACATACATACATATGAGCATTGCCAACATGCAGTGGGATAAACACAAAACAAGAAGTTAATATAATTTATACATATGTGAAGAAATAAACAAATTAGCAAATAAACAAACAATAAATCTTTTATTTATTTCAATTAACTTTATTGCAGTGGAATCATGCGGTGCATGAGAAGCGCAAGGAAAGGTTACTCCTGAATTTCCAGGCCAGCTAGAAGGAAAACTTCCCATGAATTTTCCACAAAAGGAAATTTCGTGATTTTATCATATTAAACGTGCGTGACTTCATTTGGGGCAGGAACACATCTCTAGTATTTAATATTAAATAAACCAACTGTTTTTAAACAGCTACGTCGACAGCTATTTTTATCGCCCTACCATAAGGCAATAAAAAGTATAAATATGTGCACATATGTTTATACATAAAGATTGTGCTATCTGCGGCTCAGTTGTATGAATAATTGAGTACAAATTTGAATAGATTACTCGAGTTAATTAGCCTAATCAAACAATAGCTAATTAAATCAATACATGTACACATGTATGTACATATATGTATGTATAGGTGATCCTCAAAGTCAAGTCTCCTCACTCGACATTCCATATGCCGTCACAGAGCATTCAAATGTCTTCGAACGCACTTGACTTTATTTATTTATTTCCTTGCAATCAATTCGAAGCCGTAATGTAAATGTGAATGACTCCCTCAAACACGTTATCGATACCGATTCCAATCACTGGCGATGTCCAAGTCACGCGCCATCGTCACGCGGCGAGCAAAACTACCGATATTTTAGCCAGGCGAACATAATTCACCAGATGCACGACGATGCTCTATCGAACAGTCGACAACAAACCAATACTCGCCCACCGCCGACAGTCCCTCACTCACACATGGAGAGAGATAATAATAGAACACAGACACACACAACAAGCGCACACTTACCCACACACTCATACAGTTGCGCACATGCAGAAACGAAAATTCATGCTGAGTCAGTGCCTTCCTTTGCCTTCTGCTGCCGCTGCTTTGGTTGGTGGTTGGTCGCAGCGCTGTTTCTATACGAGAAACCAGTAGCGCATGCAAAGGGGATGCTCCCAACAGCTGACGAATGGAACTGTGTTAATGTATAAGAAGTTAATTATTTAATATGTTAAATATATCAAATATGTGATTGTCGTTGCCTAAAACTTCACAGCTCTTCAGCTTGCTTATATATTTCCTTGCAAAAATCAAAATAATTATTCTTCTACTACTTGCACATTCGCCAATACGCAAAGCTAAAGGCCCCTTTGGAAAAACTCCCGACTACGTGCCTGGCAATATCGCTTTATTGGTTGGTGAGCCGTCGCCCAGTGGAACTTCGAAAATTTTGTGTTGTCGAATTGCACAAACCGAACATTAGGCGCTCAGCAATTCTCACAGGTGCTCGCCATGATATAGTTGGATGGCAACTCTTATTGGCTGCCGTCTCAGCTGCTGTCGCTTGGCGCGTTCACTGCTTACGCGCGCACACACACACGCAAACCTCTGTCTGTGTCTCTGCCTCTTCCTCTTTCTCTGCCTGTGTGTGTGTGTATAGAGCTGTGTTCTGTATTGTTTTTAAATGATAGCGGCCGGCCAGCTACAACAGTCAGCTGTTACTGTTACTGTGACTGGTGCGACAGGCGCAGACCAACCAGAAATGCTTTAAAGAGGGATAAAGACCGGCCCAATGGCCAATAATCAGCTCAACAAACTGGCCCGCATCGATACGGCTGGCCGATTGCAATACTTCTGCCTTCTGCTGCTTCACTTGACCCGACCCACCACAGCTTGTTCTGCTAGTATTAGTTGTATTTCAATTTTAATTTGCTTAGTAACCATTTGTTTTCGTCTCACATCGCATGTTGTGGGTGGAGTTGACTGTCAGATCGCATTCAGCATTGTTCCATTGGCCTAAATTTGAGTTGCAGGTAAACCAAGTGCGTTCGATGTGAGCTCTAATTTGAAAGTAAAGCAGCAATAGCTTTGACATATGTATGTATGTATGTATGTATGCAAATGTACGCAAGTGTGGAATGTGCTGTGTTTACTCATATGATGTATGTATGTGTGTAGTAGGTCATTTAAATAGAGCGGAGACCAGTAGCCGTATTCTATCGTATCTCAAATCACAAGTGATCATCGCTAGTAGCTGGAACTAAATTTTTCTCAAACTTATAAACGCTTATTAAATATGTAAAAATTAAAAAAAAAACTTTATTAATGAGCCCTGTCAGAAACTTGAATAGCAGCTTATAATAATTAAGCAATAACAGCAATAATAAGCTAAAAATAAGCTAATTAGCATAAACAGATATCGATACACATGGAAACAAATATCGCGGCATTGGCATAAAGTATTAAAAATTACCACACCTATGCAAATATTTGTCAATGTGCATACATACATATGTAAATATGTGAAAAAAGTTTAGTCAGCCCAATTATTTTAATCATTATTTTGCATCTTGTAAAAGAACGCCACAATTTGTTGCACGAGTTTCATTAGCACTAACTTTAACTGCATGCATCGAGCATGGGTGCATGTGCATATTTCCCTTTGCCAATTATGTGGGTGGAGTTGAAAATCATATCGCATTGGCCATTACTGCGGGCCCCCCTTTCACCCGCACACTTGATGCGATGCTGTTGATAGGGCACACAGGCCTATTGGCATTTCGGTTTTTGTAATTGGCTTTTTGTCTCTGTCCCAATAAGGGCAATCGGCAAGAAGCAGAGATGCCAAGCCAGCATAACAAGTTGCCACGTTCGCTTGCAACAAGTGGGCGCCACATTTACGCTGCACGCTACGAACCACCAAGCAACACGGCTAGCATAATGCAACGTGTGCGACGTCACACACACGCCCGCTGTCTATCTCATGCGAGTTGCGAACGGATTTTTTCTGCTCTTTGTTTTCGAACAATGACAGTAAATTTGTGTAGTGCGATTTGTTGTATCGCGCGTCATTTAACAGGCACCCAGAAATTTCAGCCACCTGATTTTCATGCATTTTCAACGCGTTGTAGAGCAGCACAGCTAGTGTGTGCACTGCAATGGCCGTGAATGCTAGAGCGAGCTGCCACTAGTAACACGCGAGCTTGCGTGTGGTTCGTGTCCATGCTAAGCGGAGAGCTTTCAAAGCTTGCCGCACACACTTCCTAAAAATGACCTAAATTAATATTTGTATTTGCCTTCAAGTTGGGCCACACAGAGAGAGGTCGCACAAATTGACAGCTGCAAATATTTAACACATTTTCAAATGGAATTCACAAAAACAAAAATGTATAAAAAATTCAATGCTTAAAGTGTCTTAGCACATGTGCTAAGGTCGTCCGGCATATATACAAGAGTTCCAGCCGGCTACCCACCGCTACCTCTCGCTCTCTCCCTCTGCACCTCTCTCTCTTTCCATTCGTCTTGCTCGCCAATCAGAAGCGCCTGTTGCCGAGGGCAGCTCCAATTGGACTCGTGCTTAGATTAATTATCTCTTAATTAAAAGTTATGTAAGAGCTAAAAACGAGCTCATGGAAATACTTAGCTTACATTTTTGATGTATATGACGGGATCTAATTAATCTACTTCAAATTTGATTGGATTTTAAGTAGGTGTGAGATTTAAGTCCGGGTAACAAACGTTTGAATTTTAATCTAAATTTAGACGTCGAAAACATTTAGAGCTGAGTCTTTAGAATTTGTCGTAAAGTAAAAATAAAATAAAAATGTAATATATCTGGATGGGAATCACTTTGAAAGGCAGATTATAGACATTCATGAATATAAAAAACAGAATGAAACGCGAAATTAGCAATAAGAGCATTTAACATAAGCGAATAAATAAAAAAAAAAAATTAGATATGTTTGATTATTTGCAAATTTAGGTTTTTTAATTTTTATTGATTAACAATCTAACAAGGTTTTCAAACAGACCAAAAAGTTCGAGCGAGTTTCCTAAATAGAACGTTAAATATATGTATTTATAAATAAAAAGATAAACCTTTTTAATATTTTCTTTGAATTTGGATTTTTATTTTTTCATATATTTTATGTATATATTCTAGAACTCCCAATTTCTCTGACCACCCGCTGAGTTATTGAGTTTGCCAAAGCACATATCATTAATCTGTTGAGCGTGCAATTGAGGTGAACCAAATTTGCATCATTCAATGACAACGTCTTCATGGAGATGTGAAGAGCGAAGATCCATTAGAGATAGATGATATATAGTTGTACATAAGTATGTATATAAATCTCTTAATTGTAACTTAGTTTATTCAAGAAACTAATTCAAATATCTTGGCTGGTGCCAGTCACATGCAGCTCCTCTCCTGTCCACACCTACCCCTCACTCCCTCACCTGGCCAAAAAAAAAATAAAGCTAGTTTATTGTTCTGTCACGCGCTCGGACAACGGACAGCGGACAGCGGATAGCGGACAACGTCATCAAGTGGTCTTCTTATTGTTGTTGTTTCTCTTGTGGTTTTTAGTTTTTAGCTTTACATTCACTTTTTTTTCGCATCCGCATCCACTGCTGCTACCGAACCGGACGGGCCTCAAGAAGTGCTCTTCACGGTGTTTTCGGTACTAGCTCTGGTACTGGGTACGAAAAATATCAGATATATGTATCTATGTTGTTGTTGCTGCTGCTGTTGTCGTCGCTGCTCCAAGGTTGAGGCAAACTGGTATCATCAACAACAGCAACAACAGCAACAACAACACCAACGAGCAGCAATCAGAGCTGTGAAGATGAGCAGCAGCAGAAGCAGTCGGCTATCCAAGACATAATCGCAACAATCTCAGTCGACGTCGCGGTCAGCGTCGACGTCGGCACGAGTCTCTATGCATTAATTACTGGCCATAACCATAACCATATAGCCATATCCATATCCATATCCATTTCGGCCATAATGAAGCAGACTCTTAGCAAATTAGAAGCCTTTCGCTTGGCTTAAACAGAAACCTCATTGTCTTAGCGCTTAGGTTTTAGCCTTGAGCTGCTGCCAGATCGGCCAGATAACGCAATAAATGCACTTAACGAAATTCTAGAGAAATACTCAAATTAATTACTATAATTATTTGATAGCCTCAGAGTAGATATAATCATAAAATTCATTAGATCTATATATAATTCAGTAGATACTAAATGATATTCATACATGCGTAGTGTATTTTTATAGTAATATTACAGTAATAGATCAAAATAAACTAATTGATTACTAATCTGTATATCAGCTTATACTGATCGATCATAGAGTCTGATATAGACATTTCACTAAATTAAAACTATTTGGAGTGAGATATGTGGTCTATCTATATGGACAATGAGTTTGTATATTTAAATTTAAAGTTTCCAGTATTTCTAATTTACTGATGAGTATATCTCAGTCTGCCACGCCTCTTTCTGTCTGTTACATAGGCAAAATAATAATATAGTGAGAGCCGTGCAATCAGGCGCAACCGACTAATAACTGTATAATAGTCGCTGAAGCTCTTGCAATTGTTGAGTAAATTTTGAACATTTCGCAACTACCATATCATATGATATAGATCTATTTGTGGAGGTGCTCAAAACGAACCCAATTACAGAATTTCCAATTTAAGAAACTATAAAACTGGGGAACACATTTTTTTTTTTTTATTGAGTCAAGGTAGAAGTTATAAAGTCATAAC